GAGGACGTGATGGTCGTGAGAGTTGCGTCCAACATGTGTTCAATTGTTCAAGATACTTTTGCAATGATATGTTGCTCATTTTTGATCTATCTTATCAAGTGCCTGTTAAGTTGTGCACTTCATCCACATCTCAGCCAGTTGCAACGGATCAAAAATGTCATGTGGTGTGATTTGCCTGCTTGGATGATCAATCCCACTTCGCCGGTGGTTGCTAAGCTGGAGTTATTTGAAATACCCCTATATTGATGTGACTCGGTAAGCTATTATCCCACTTCCCAAGTTTTTGCAGTGGGAAAACCGGGGAGAATGACATCCAAATAAGGTGTCACAGCACGGCACTGCCAGGAACAAGAACTTCTCTCCATGGAACAATAGTCTCAGATGGGTTTTCCTGACCTGGCCCTGTGGATGACATTTCAAGTGCTAACACATGAAGCTAAGAGTTACGTATTCAAAAATTGGGAGTGTGGTATTATATATATATATATGTGTGCTTGTTTCTGAAGGACCCAACAAAAAGATCGTTGCCGTTGATTTGGGATCATTCTCTTGAGTTATAAATTATCATGGAAGGTGCATTGTTCACACCAGTGTGCAGTATATTTGGGCTCAAGTTTTGTTAAGCTCAAATTTAAATTCTGTGGAACGTTGGGACGCCATGGAAGCAAAGTGCAGCTTCTTGCTTTCGGTATGCGTGCTCGCTACCTGCATTGTAGCAGGGACAAGTAGCCCGAACACCACAGGCTTCCTTGCACAGCCCCATATGGTGAACCACTCGAACACCACTGGCCCCGTCCCACAGAACGTGAGTGATGTCAAGAGCGTGCTTCTGGACCTTGCGAAGAAGAATATCACCTTACAGGACATGCAGGACATTCTGGCAAAGGTTGGCGCTGACTCCAAAACAAAGGACTGGGATACCTGCACGAGTAGGTGCAGGTCTGAGTACAATTCGTGCACCAACGCCGGGATCTTGGGTCTCCGCATTTGTCAAATTTTTTACAGCGGGTGTGTTGCGATCTGTGCGAACGAGTGATGATTTTAGAATTTTGTGGTTGCTGGCTAGAATTTTCCATCTCCTAGTCTGCATGCCAACTAATGCTGTGCGTTTGGAAAGGCAGTGACACAACCCAGCTTCACTGTCGGGTGGTTAGTTTTTGCCAGGTATGCCAACAGAGCATCAAACTTTATTCGCCTCCAGGTCTGAAAAAAATAATCTAAGTAGTTCAATCGAACTATGACGTACTTGCTCCTGTAAGCTTGTGGTATACATTGTACATTGGGATATCCCTCATCCACTACGAGGACAGTAGAAGCTCAACCTTTGCTTTAGATCTGGGCAAAGTATAGCACCTCACCCCATA